CAGCCCCGAATGCTTGGTTCGGACAACAGCTCTTCGGAGCTTCCTGACCTCAGCCTTCTCTCCCGTGAAGGAAGAGCTGTTTATCCTATTTAAATGGTGCTATTTCCAAGTTTTCTGCTGTGTCACAGCTGCGCGTTTTCTCCTTTCCTCACAGAAACTGGTTTTTTTAATCAAAAATGCAACCTCAGAACATTCTCAGGTGCAGCGTCGGCCTGCCTCAACTCCTGCCTCTGAGCATCACTTTTCTCCCCTGCAAAATGGGGATCACGCCCTCCCCTCCCGGTCTGTGACGTAGGTGGTGAGGTCTTTGCAAGTGTGCAATGTCCTGAAAGTCAGGGCCCACCTCCTTCCTACAGGTTCCGGAATCTTCCTACAGGTTCTGGAATCTTCTAGAATATACTCTCAGGACTCAGTATCTCAGTGTCATTGGACTGTACTCTTACAGGTGGTTAAAGCCGGGTGTGGTGGTCCATGCCTGTGATCCCGGCACTCTGGGATGCTGAGGCAGGATGACCCCAAGTTTGAGCCCAGACTGGACAATTTAGTGACTTAGTGAGACTAGCTCAAAATTTTAAATTTAAAATTTAAAAAGGGCCAGACAGGGTTCCATCCTAGTACACACACACCAAAAATGTTAAAATGATACATTTTATGTTATACATACTTTACCAGCATTTTAAAACACAAACAAAAGACCCCCAGGATACCAGGCTCAGCGAGCCCTGAGCATGGGCGGGCACGGGGCTGGCTGAGAAAGAAACCAGAAGCCAGCCGCTCCCGGGGGACCCTCAGAGCAGGAGCCAGGAGCCCCTGCCCCCGCCCACGCGGGCACCCGCCGCGCTCCCGGTCACGCCCCTCCAGCTTCGTGATTTATTTTCTTAAACTGAAGCAAATTCTGCCTTCTGCTCTATTAATGAATTTGTTTTAATGTGCAAAAAATGTTTTACATGAGTTGCCAACTGCATTACTGCCTTCTATTCTCCTTCCCGAATCCCCGAGCATATGGATTCTTTGGAGGCGCCCTCGGCTTCTCCTTCTGGGCTGCACCCCGGCAGGGAGCCCACACCACACCGGTGCAGCAGAGACAGAGCTTTTTCCATGTGGAGCAAAGACAGCACCGAGAACACGCAGGACAAGCGTGCAAAAGTGTGCACAAGTGTGCATCTGTGGGCCGGCCAAGTGCACAGAGGACTGCGGTCAGCGGCTGCCTCTGCCCCCAACTCTGAAATCTCAGAGCACTGGCGATGGTGACCGCAGCATGTGGGGTGAGGAGAATATAAATCCATTTTCAGGAAGGATTTTGCTTTCTGCAGTGCGGAAGCTCAAACCCAGGACCTCAACCATGCTGGGCAAGCCTGAGCCGCACTCCCGACCCTGGAGGAGCTTGGAGAGAGGCGGCCTCCGTCCACTCAAGCCTCCTCCGCACAGGGGCCTCAGGTGTTCCCATCCACACTGTCCCCAGCACTGTGGCCTCCGTGCTGATTTCCACAAGTAGGGACCCCCATCCCCGTGACAGACGAGGGACCGAAGCCCTGTGATGTACAGAAGAGGCCACGTCATTAGCCAGCAAGGGAGGACAGGCATTCACGCCAGGCCTGTCCAGTGCAGGCCAGTTCAGGCATCACCCCACAGGACACTGCCTTCAGTCCCACTCCCGTCCCAACCAAGAGGAAAAGGTGGCACCTTTGCCCGGTGGTGTCTTCTGCTAGCGGGGCAGGCACCGCCTCTCCCCGTCTCCCTCCGCCAGCCTGGCTCTGGGAGGTGCTCTGGCCTGATTCTCTCTAATTCTGGTGGTGATGAGCTGCCTAATAAAATTATGCTAAGTTATGTGCATAAAGAGTAGCATCTTAAACTCTAATTATTGGCCACGTCTTTGAAGAATTCTGTGCAATTTCCAGGGTAATCAACTCACCTCTCTCTTTGGGCCTGATTAGCTGTTCGGGCCAATTTAAGTCCCCTACCCCCAGCCCTCCTTGAATCGACAGGGTTCTGGATGTCATTAGCTATTCCAATTGCCTTTTAAAAAATCTGTTTCGCATAAGAGGACAAATGAGGAGGAGTATGTGCCCATCTTTAAGACACTAACTGCATTCTTTTCGGCAGCCTGTTCTCGTTACTGGTGCTTTCTGCGGGAGGAATCCAAACGCAGCCTGCCCGGGCTCCGCAGTTCCTGACTGCAAAAGGCTTCATCTCCGAAACCTGACCCAAGCGGGCAGATCTGGGAAAGATGCAGCTCCAGAGAACCCAACCCACTTTCTCCTTCCCCACACTGCTTTCTCCAGAGCCAGCTCCCCATTCTGTCGCCTGCTTGCCAGGGCTCGGGCATGAGTGGTCACCTCTGGCCCGGACCGCCACGCAGCAGGGCGGACCTGAGACCCTTCGGATTATTTGCTGGAACAGCAGGAAGAAACCCCATCCAAGGACTGGCTGCTTCTCCCCTTTATTGAATCGTCAGCATGGTTCATGCCAGCAAACCCATGCAGGAGATCTGGGCGCGGGAGGAGGGAGTTCCAGGGAAAGGACTGCCCCTCAGAGCCCCCGCTGATGTGGAAGTCAGGACATACAGGGATGGGGATCTGATGAGACACAGAAGGGAACAGTGAAATGGGCCCCTTGGACGCAGTTCAAGTTAAAGTGAGCAAAGGACTAACTGTAGTAAGTTACTCAGTCTCTGTGGCCTACATGACATGTTCTGTGGGCCCTGCCTCTCCCTGATCTCATCTTCAAGCTCCTCCCTGGTCTCTGAACCCCAGCCAGTACTCCTCCAACACTCCCAGCATTTCCTACCTCAGGGCCTTTGCACATATCACTGCCCAGATGTTGCTTTTTCCCCAACCCCTTCATCATCATTCTGCAGGCCGCACAGCCCATTCCTAGATGACCCTCTTGTTTATCCCCTTTCCTGCCTATATTCTGAACAGATAGCCACCCCCTGCATAACTCTGCCCTGCTTTATATGGGAGGCCTTCTCCACCTGATATTAGTCTGTATCTGTTTACTGTCTCTCTCTCACACCCAGAAAAATATAACCACTCTGAGGGCCAGAATTATGTCTTTCTTGTTCTCTGACACGCCTACAGCTGCCTGACAGCTGCCCAGTGAGTACTTGGTGGACAAATGAAATGTCGGCATGTCCACTGTATCCTCTCCTCCCCATCTGTATGTCCCAGGCTCTGAGCTCCTTTTCCAAGGAAAAATGTGCCTGGGTTTCATCGACCCAACGAAAGGAAGAGTCAGTTTCTCTTAAACCTCTTGAAAATGGACCACAGAGGCTTAGAACACCAAGTTCCTACATAAGCAAACAGCACCTGCAGGCTGAGGTCTAAGACACGGGACGGCTGGCAGTTGTGGGGCGGTGACCTGTGTGTGCCTCAGTTACCCCAAGCGACAGGAGGAACCCGGGTCCAAGTAAAAAACTCAGCCTGGGCCATGAAGGAGGCTTCGCTTTGGGGTGTCTGCAGCCCATTTTCCCCCAGCCCTGCAGAAAAGACCCTGAAAGCCGCTGTGGTGGAGACAAGTCATCCAGAGAAGGGGGCGGGGGAGAGAGAAGCCCCGGGATTGGGCAGGCCATCCAGCAAGGCTTTGGATGAAAACCGATCCGGCAGTGCGTGATCCTCCAAAAATCCGCCAGCCCCTCAAGTGCTTAAGTTACCCATCCGACCACAGCCACATGGAGAATGAAATTAAATCCCACGGAAAGATTTGACTTTTTTAACATTATGCAATGTTTGGGTGAAAAAAAAAAAAGGGAGAGGGGGCCTCAGAAAAAATTCATCCTTTTTCCCAGAGTTTAGCAAAGCTATTTCTAGCTTTTAATGATAGATTTCACCATGGCTTCATGGGTAGTTTTGAGAGGCGTGAAGGCGGGCTGCTGTGTTATGTAACTCATCTCAAATCGGAAATTAGCAAGTCCTGAATGAATTCTGTTACTGTATTCCGACTTCTGGAAAGTTTGGAGCGGCTACAGTTCTATTTTGAGGTGAGCAAATCCATCATTTATAGACCTCCTCGCAAATACCGCAGGATTTCATGTCGCGCTGAAAAGTTTCATAACAAAAACAGTTAAAGTACTTGGAGGGTTGGAACATTGCGTCTCTAAACCTTTTTAGTCCACAAAGGGAGCTGAGCGAGGCTTCCCAGCTGCCAATGATTCAAAAATGCAAATATCTAAGACCAAATGAATATTCAGCTCTTATACTCCCTCCTTCCCCACTTTTTTCTTTAGCTAAGTCCAGCAAAATATTCTGGTCAACAACATGAAAAGAAATGTCTGTTTTAACGGGACCGCTGGGCATGAAATAAATTCTGAAGTCATGAAAGCAGCGTCTGGAAACCGAGCAGCTGGGCACCCCCAGGCAGCTGCAGCACGCAGGACCCTGTGCGTCCTCTGATCCTCGGGTGCCCCCTGGCGGCCACCGTCACCCCCGCCCTGGGCTGGAATTTCCCAGAGCTCGCAGATGGAGTCTTGAAGAAAAGTACCCCAGGCCCCACCTTTAGAAGCATGCAACCCCCAGGTACGGACCCTGTCCACGGAGATCGGCAGCTCCTGCTGCTAATGACACCAGGTGGCCAGGAGAGCTCAGACCAATGGCCCCTTTGCAAATGCGGACAAAGTTAAAACGAATGATATACCCGTTAAGTGAGGTCTGGGGTGCGGGGTCAGACTGAGTCTCAGACATGGGCGCTGCGTGTGTCCAAGGCAGCGAGAACATCCTCAAGTGGGTATCTGTTGCTACGGGTGCCCAGCAGGTTAGCAAACACTGTGCCTCCTGTGATCCGGTACATCCCTCTAAAAACCCCTTTTTTGCTTAAAAAATGATGTGACTGCATCCCTAAATCTTTCATCCCTCGATTATAAAAACAAAGATTTCAAAGCTGTCAAGCATTGTGTGTATAAACATAACCCTTATGTTTTTCACCTTTTTTCCCATTTATATCAGTTCTTGAATTTTTGACGTGTTTAGAAGGGGCGACAAGTACAGAATAATAAATAACATGCATTGGGGTTTTTTTCTGAAATCAATATAATTTTTTAAACCAGAAACAAGTTCTTTACATTTTCTGTACCACCAGATAAGCACATAACAGCATTATAATAGAAAGTCCTTATTTCATTCCCAGAACTCACGTTCCCGTACATATTACAGGGATTCCCACAGGCAGAAAACACACAAGCTTTATTGGGCAACAGGCCACGCTGGCAAAGAATGAAAGTGGAATTGCTCAGGAACACGGAAGAGCACATGGGCGTCATCACAGAACCGAGAATTTGGATCACCTGGACATTCTTGCTACATTGAAGCATCCCAGGCCCCAGCGTCCTCTAATCAAAAATGCCGCTCCAGTGGACGCCTGCCCGCGGGCTGCACAGACAGACCCAGGAATGAGAGAGCCCCAGCTGTATCCCAACACCATGCCCACCTCACCCCCTAACACAGTATTCACTGACGCTACCCAGCTCCGGGCATGGGCTGCCCAGACTGTCCTGTGCAGGAGGAACCTGGGAGACCCAGGGGCAGGTGTGCCGCACTGCACCCCAGGGTCACAGGAGTGGGGCCCACACAGTGCTATGTTTCTCAGTTCCATCCCAAAGCAGTCAGTCATTTTCTTTCCAAGAAGAAATGGACATAGCCTGGCATGATGCCACACGCCCGTAATGCCAGCACTTGAGAGGCTGAGGCAGGATTGCTGAGTTCAAGGTCAGCCTGAACTGCACAGTGAGACTCTTGTCTCAAAAAAAAAAAATAGACATAATGAAAATATTTTAAGTATATAAAGCCAAAAGGTTTCCTGTTAAAGAAATGGGGAGAAATAAAATATATATAAGCTCTTCATATATTTTTAAAATAAAAAAGGAGGGGGAGAGGAAAGGGAATTCCAACGCATTGAAAAACCAAACGTTTCTTCAGAAAACTTAAGATGACCTCATAAACACACATACACACTTCACACACTCAGAAAGGATGGAGGTAAAAATGTCTGATAAGCATTTGCTTTAAATAGGATGGAAAATTTGAAATTTTGGCAAAAGTTTACAAGGCTGCCCTCAAAGACATTGTGGTGCATGCCCAGCCCCACCCCTGCAAGAACAAGACAAAACATAAAAACAAAAATCTGGAGCAAAATATAGGCATGAACATCAATTTCCAATGAGTACAAAATTCAAAATACATTGAAAAATATTGTCAGTACAACCTAGATTCTCCGCAGAGAACAAACAGGGGAGATGTTGGTCAGCAAAGGGTGGAATTTAAGATGACCACCGCAACAAGGTTTCACTCCGAGGAGACTGGGAGCAGGTGTGTTCCTCCAAGTGGGGCAGTGAGCTCAGCTCGCCCCACCCCAGCCAACTTTCAGATGCCCCCCAGATGCCCGGCCCCAGTCCACCTCGTGAGACAGCAATACCCGGGCATACGTGCACTCTCAAAGCCAGGCTCAAAACTGTCCAGCAGATGGAGAGGCTCGTGGTCAGTGTCTTAGAGAAATTGTGAACCAAAAGGGAGGAGGGGGAGGGGAGAGTTTGGACAGTGGTCAGTGCGCCCCTGACCTCACACTAAAGGGCTGTTGGAGTCATGGGCTCACTGGGTTCTCCGGGTGGGGGAGTCAATGAATGCCGTTTCTACATTTTTTCTAGATAGGACTCCTTGCTCTCCTCGTGCTCCCCCTGACTAAGGTGACCCTGAGAAGGCTGAGCGCCCCGGTGCTCCTGGGCGTCCAGTCTGCCTGTGCACTAAGGGTCAATGCTCTCTCTCCGCCAGCTCCGTGGCGCTGCTCCTGTGTCTCCGAGGTGTCAGGTGCCCAGCGTGCGTCCCCGGGCGCCCCGGCCTCAGGAGATGCCGGTGGAGTCTGCAGGCTGGTTCCACAGTGAGGGAACATCCACATGGGTTCAGTCCTGCCCTTCCTTGCCACCACCAAAGTATGGGGGCCCAGGGAAGAAAGAGAACTGGACCTCTGGAGGGCACCATCAGACACCTGTGACTTCTGGGTGGCCTCTGAGCCTCTCCTGGAAGCTTCCTCCCTCGAAGGTGTCACTTGGGATACTGGTGCTGACTCGGTGGAAATCAGGGTTAAGGGAAAGACCAGAGAGACCGGCTTTTTCGCTACATCTGCTGCAAACATCGACGGTCACCTAGCGCAGTCCCGTGTGACTGGCCCGCGGGAGTCCTGGCCTGTCCCTGTCACAGGGCTGGCTTGGGTTTGGGAACTCAACACACAGCTCTCTTAAGACTCTGTTTCCCAGACTGACTTCTGAGGAAAAAGAGCCAGAGGCTCAAAAACAATCACTAAATAAAACCTCCTCTGTTCTTCAAACCACGTAAAACTGCCCAACGAAGAAGTCAGGTTCGCTCCATCTCCCTGAGGCCTTGGGGCGAAGATGCTCTTCCTAAGCCACCATTCCTGCAATGCAGCGCTCACCGCTGCGGGGCTCCCGGCCCTGCCGGACAGGGCTGGAGTGGACAGGAGACGTGAGGTGGAGCTGGGGACCTCAGGACACAGTCGAGCTCGCGGGCCCTGCAACTTACCCTCATCCTGGGCAGCTCTAAAAGCTCTAACAAAGTGCCGGGGTGCACGGGGAGCACTTTGAGGTCGTGGCTGCCCGTGTCCCCAAGTCTCTGGGAGCAGGTCCCCCTAGGGTGGACAGGGAGTGGGCATCAGCACTGGGCCGTGGCGCCCCCGCAGGTCTGGAGGGCGTGCGCTGCGCTCCGACTGCAGGGACCGCACATCTGGGGGCGCCAGGCCCTCCCGACTTAACCCTTATGGAGTACACATGTGCTTTCCACAAGCAGTGACTTGCAAACCCAAGAATGCCCTGCCACGTCCAACGCCCGCGAGCTTCTTCTCCCTCCGCGAGCGCAGCCACGACTGGCGCCCCTCCCCCACCCCCTCCTTCTGCGCATGCCCAGGAGACCTGCAGCCGCAGGAGCTGGTTGCAGGCTGCAGGACTGCGAACTGCAACAAAGGCACGCTGTCGCTGCCTTTGTCAGCGCGTCCTCCGTGACTCCGACAGGAAACTGGCTGCTGGCCAAGAGCGGAGCCCCCGTGCCCAGACCCTTCCGTCTCGGCCTCAGCAGATCTGAGTCTCATCTGCCAGGTTGTCTGAAGAGTTAGCTGAAGCTGTTATCGCATCGTCGACACATGTAGGGGCTGCTCGGTGGCATGTTTCCTGCTAAAGCAACTAGCTGGGAGGGCCAGAGGGTGTCCTCAGATAGCCGCTGGCTCTGGAATTGTCACCAGCTCACAACGAAGCAGGAGTGCCACCTCTGAAGCTCTTTTACGAGGTGGCAGGTGACATGAACTCGCCCCCCATGCTTGGGGGGGGTCCCCTCTCCTACTGTGCTCTCCTCGGGGTCGTGCTCCATAATCCTAGCAATCCGGGGCCCCTCACAAAGCAGGGACGCCTCAGAGAGGGCGCTGAGCGTTTCCAGATGGAATTACTGTTTGGATGACTTTTTATCGAATGCCACTGCCTGTTCCTCTCCAATCTGAGAACTGTTTTTTCTGAAACCACTTTTTAGAGACTTAAAAAAAAAAGGACACACAATGGGACCGGTTTAAAAACAAAAAAAGCCTTCTGTAACCTTTGACTAGACAGAAAGTTTTATCACAGGACAACCAAATTCAAGTCATAAGGAAGCTTGCACAGTGACCCACAGGACTGTCAGGCGAGCCACCCGTTCTGACAGCTGTCACTCCCATGTGACAACCAGGGGTCTGACGAGTGCGTGGGGCCCCTCTCGGGCCTGCCCTCCGAGTCTCCCCTCTGAGGACTGACCCCCTGGTACGGCCTTGCCACGAAGGAACAGCGCGTGTTAGCAATTACTGCAAAACCCACAGGTGGCGTTAACACGAATGGAACTCAAACTCTGTCCGCTGAGGATGTGCAGAGCCCGGGGTCCCCTCGGGCCAGCGCGCAGCCTACGATGTGAGCTTCGAGTAGCTGGGGGGCGAGAACCGTCTTCGCAGGTACTTGAGGACGTAGAGCGGGAGACAGCTGACCAGGGTGATGACAGAGACTTTCCAGAGGAACGACAGCGTGGCGATGAAGTACACATCTGCAAGCCAGGAGAACATGGCAGTGAGCTGCATGGAATACTCTGGGAGGCATCACGGGACCGAGCAGCAGTCACCGTGGCCAGCCAAGGGAAAGCTGCTTCCCTCACACATGGCGTTAGCGCCCGTCCCCTGCCCGCTCCTGAAGGGGCCGAGCCGGCCAGCAGCGCACACGGCTGTCAGCCCGATTCTCCTCGCTTTCCCTCCTGCCTGTCTGACCTGATCCAGTAGCTTCCTGCTCGGTACAATGCAATTTTCAGCAACTCCAGTAGGAAAATCAAAAAGCAGGTGTTTTTGATTTAGACCCTGACAGTTGGAGCCTCTTTCTAAAGCCACGCCCTGGGGAGCACAAGTGACATTCAGACGGAGGGCTCTGCTTCCTCGAAACTCTTCCATCCGCCTCAGTGACGGTCACACTGAGTGATCGTACCGGGCACAGCGCGAGGGGTGCAAAGCCCCCTGGTCAGGTGCGGGCTCAGCCTCGGGCCTCTGTTTCCTTGGGGGCTGAGGGTGGTAGACCAGGGGTGCTAAGATTTCTGAAAGAGAAGGCACTGCTGCCACCAGAGGAACCCCTTCCCCACCTCCTGAGCTCAGGGGGAAATGCTGCAGGCCCAGATGAGGCCCCTCCTCCAGCCCTGGGCACTGTCCTGTGACTGTGCCCCCTCGAAGGCCACCCGTGCTCCCGGAGGGCCCGAGCCCTGTGCGTGCAGGCGAGTGCACACACACCCTTTTCTGGAAGACTGGACAAGTGTGAAGCTTCTAACCTCTCGCCTCCTGGCTGCACACCTTTTGTGTTTATCAATAAACACTCATGAGCAGCTCTGGAAAGCAGAGAAAGCTCGGATCAAAGGTGTTCCCGCAGTAAAGCAGAGTTTCTCGGTCCACGGAGCCTCTGGGGACGCTGTTTCCCTCCGAATCTACCTTCTTGTGAAATCTGAATGCCACTGGTTTTTGAGCATCGGTGTGTGACACTGGACTTACACTGAAGGAGGGTAACATCTGTCCACTCCCGGGCCAGGCTGGGCTCCCCTGGAGGAGGGGCCACAGCACCCAGGGGTGAGTTCCTGGGTCCGGCCACCTTGCCCTCTCAGTGGGACAGGCCTCCCCCAGGGTGCTGTAGCCAGAGGTCCCCCAGGGGTCTGGTGGGAAGCAGCCTTAGAGCTAAGCTCTCCCTGCAGACAAAGGAGACAGTCACCCCAGAGTTCACTTTAAGTGACGCAGACAGAAACTTAACTGCGTGTGTGAAAAAGCAGAAAGGAAGCAAGCCATCTGCTGCCTGCCTGCCGCCTTACAAGGTGATGAGCCCAGCCCGGGAGGCCCAAGTTGATCCTGGCCTGGAAAAAACTCAGACTGGGTCCCCTGAGGCACATGCTGAAAGAGGCCGGGCTGCCTGAACCGCACCTGCGCTGAGCACCTGTGGAGCAGAGCTGGCCCGGGCTCGGGACAGGAAGGAGCCCATGCCAGCACCTGGGTCAGCAGTCAGCCTGGACGGAGATCGAGCTCGTCACACATGGACTAGGTCTGGCTGGACATTTGGCAGCATCTTATAGCAAAGTGAGAGGTGGTTGAGATGGAGAAACCTGAGCTTGTGCCCTAGAGGTGGGGGTGATGGCCTGTACCCCCAGAACCAGCACTGTGGCAGAGAACCCCCTTCCTGGGAGGCCCTGCTCCCACACCTGCCATTCCGAGATGTCCGGGTGTGGGCTCAGGTGCGTTTCCCTCACCTTGTTCTGCAGCCTCGGTCACAGCTCTCATCCCCATGGGATGATGGGACTTGGGTTTTCAAATGTTCTGGGTCTGCAGTTGGCTGGGCTCAAAGATGTGGAACCCGAAGACATGGGTCTATCATGCTTGCTGAATTAAACAATTCTCCTCCTGTATCGCCTGGCTCTTTGTTTTCAAGGTACTCTTGAGCTTGGGATGTAGCTCAGTGGTACAGCACTTGCCCAGCATGTGTGAAGCTCTAGCTTCTATGGTGACAAAGGCCAGTAATCCCAGCACTCTGGGAGGCTGAGGCAGGAGAAATGTTAAGTCTGAGCCCATCTTGAGCAAGTGATGACTTAGTAAGACACTGCCTCAAAATATTTAAAAAGCGGGCAGGAGATACAGCTCAGTGCAAAGGGCCTGGGGTCAATGCCCAATATGCAAGCAAGCCAGCACACACTGGACTTTGAGGCCATATCCTGCATTCTCAATTCCATGTGCTAATTCACAACTGCCACTTGTGAATTAGGGGCTCTCAGCAAAGTTTCCAGGCCTCACTGCTGGGGAGACCTAGGGCTGACACCCCGGGCTGGCAGACGAGCTTGCACACTCGGCTCTTACCAATGAACTCATGTAAGAACACCAGCGAGGCGATGTAGCAGGCCAGGCTGAGCAGCTCGGCCACCGTCATAAGCCAGTGCCAGGTCTGGATGGTCAGCGCCACCATGAGCAGCTCGGTGAGGATCAGCGACGTGAAGGAGATGGCCACGATGTGCACGAACTCAGACTCGAACAGCAGCAGCGCCCCGTACATGATGGTGCTCCCTGGAAACGCCAGAAGGGTGTCCCTGGAAGTCCCCTGGGCCGGGTCAGCACCACGCGCCGCCCCCCGGAGCTGGACACTGGGCCCATGCCCCACCCCCAGAATCATTCATTTGGACACCAAAGGCGTGAGTGCTTTGTAAGTGAGGCTGAGGAGCGATGCCTGTGGAGCGGTCAGACCCGTACAGCCGCTGTTCTCTCTGACCTCACAGACTAAATATTCTGTAACCACGGAGGACGAAAAGGCAGCGGACGGAGAGAGGAGGGAGTAAGAGAGACTTACTACTGGAGCTGAGAGGAGACACAGAATTTAAACATTTCCTCTAAAATGATGGAGGCAGCAGCCATAAAAGGCAGAAATTGTACAAGTCCACCTTCAGGAGGGACCCGAAGCAGCCCAGGGCACAGGGACAGTAGAATGGTGGTCCGGGACGGAGGAGGGCAGGGGAGCGCTGTCGCTCAGGGGAGCAGAGTTCCCGAGGTCCAGAACGGAGAGGTGCAGGGATCTGAGGGGCAGTGACACCCCAGGCTGGGGGGGGGGGCGCCTGTCACCCCAGGCTGGTCACTGAAGGTGGTCAGGGCCATAAATGCGATGCTGGGAGTGGTTTTACCACACATGCGCACAAAGAAGACTTGCCAAGAGAGACAGCGAGAAGCCCACACAGCTGCCGAGGAGAGGAAGGGCATGGCATGGGGGGGGTGTCAGGCTCCCCAGCACCCCAGAGACTGAATGGACTGTGCTCAACGCTGGCAGCACGAAGGTGTCGCTCAGAGCGGCAGCAGGGACTGGAAGCGTGAGGCGAGGGGCCGAGCCGGGGCCACTGACGATCAGGAACCCAGGCAGGACGTGCACTTTCAAACCAGATGCGCACGTTACACTCTGACGTACGTCTAAAATGCACGCACGCACACACATCGAGTTTCAATGCCAGGTTAAGCCTCTGCCAACAAACTCAGTGGTCTCTAAATTTTTTTTTTTATTGTACAACTCCTTGGTTAAAAAAAGGGAAGAGAACCCAAATATTATACATTCAATTTTAAGTTTTATGTGTGCCAGTGCAGGTAACTAAAAACAGTACCATTCAGGTGTATTGTGTGGATTATAAAATGCACACAGCAGAAATCCTGAAAGGAGCCAGGAAAAAATAAATGCAACAGGAGAGTTGATATTTCCTTTTTATACTCCAAAAGGTCATTTTTCAAAGCTACTACCGTCTACAGGACCCTCTCGGGCAGCCACAGAATGTATGTTTCTTTAAAGCGGTGACTTGATCTCACTCTTAGTAAAGACACCGAGCATCCGAGAAAGCTTTATGTTAGGTGGATCCAACCGCCTGGCAGTTCTCAATTAGCACGTGCTGAGTATCCCTATTAGTAATGCTCCAGACCAGAATGTTTTCGATTTGGGCCTTTTTCAGATGTTTGAGACACCGCATATACGTAAGGAGGTAGCCTGGGGAAGGGAACAAAGTCCAAACACGAAACGTAAGTCTCCTACACACCACCCCGCTAAGTCACACTGCGTTTCTGTGTCCCTGCATTTTGACTCTGACCTACCAGAGGTCAAGTGTGGAACTTGCTCCTTGTGGCAGCACACCAGGGCTCCTTCTGGAGCACTGTGGACCAGGGAGGCTTGGCCTGCGGTGTCAGGCTCCTCCCTGACGGTCCCGGGGCAGACGCCTGCTCTGCTCTGTCTGATCTCCCTGTGCTCCAGCCCCGGAGCGCTCAGCCTGCTGCCACAGCCCTGGCCTCCCTGAGGTCCCCGCTTCCCTTCTCCACTTCCACAGGCTGGAAACGGACTCAGTGGGTCACGGTCAGCGCACGGGGCAACAGCTGGCTGCTGTCCTTACCTTGATAGATGCTAATCAAAACCCAGATTAAGAACGTCTTGTAGGACAGCGGCCGCCCCTGAGGAGACAGAAAGGTTAAACAACAGAGGGCGACCAGCAGGTCATGGGGTGACCCGCAGCTCAGGTGCCGTCGGCCTCCTCCTCCCTCCCTCCACCCACACATGGCCACCTGCCTGTCCTCGTCCAAGCAGGGGCTGATACATCCAGACACAGGAGGGGAACCCAGTGACGGGAGCCGGCATAAGCCTGGTGTTTAGTGAAAGCCCCAGAAGACAGGAAATCACCCGCGCTTGGGGAGCGCGCTTTCTGCAAGTGGCGGGAGGGTGGGCATTGCTAGGGGCAGATGCAGTCACAGCTGGCGCCGCGCGGGGCCTGCAGGCTGCTGTGCAGGTCCACTCCCTACACAGAACCTACAGTGCTTCAAGGGAACATGAGCCCCCACACTGTCCCCGAAAGTCAGAGCAGCCCCGTCAGTCAGACCCGGGGAGTCTGAGGGGAGGAAGGCGGACAGGGGGACAGGCAGGCGGCCAAGGCCCACGCACCTTGAGCAGGTCCTTATAGAGCTCGGGGTACAACATGGCAACTTCCGACTTGACATCCTTGTCCAGGACCAGGGAAAACACCGGGAACATGGTGTAGATGGTGGAGTACCTGGGGAGCAGAGCGGACAGTGCTGGCCGGTGCAGCGGGGCCACCTGCCCCCCACCCCACACACCTGCCCGGCCCCTCAGTGTGGAGACTCAGACGTGAGACAGACCGAAGCCACGGCCCAGAGAGCTTGTGTGCTGACTTTTGTACAGCTAAACAGATAAAGGACGTCACCTCCCACTATGTTACAGAAAAGGGCTTCTGAGAAAGGAGTAAACACTTGAGCAAACATCCGAGCAGAAGCAGCCAGGAAAGTAGTGGGAGAAAGAGCATGCCAATGCAGCAAGAACAGGCTGTGCAAAGGTCCTGAGGCAGGGGTACAGCTGTCAGCAAGACCAGTGTGGCTCAGACTGAGGGGACACGGCAGATGGGATGGATGATAAAAGGTCACATGGATTTCCTGTTTTCTGTGATGTCCTTTTACCCTGCCAGACCTGACCAAGGCACTGCACTTTTTCAATTAGAAGCAGGTAGAGTCCAGGGCATACTCTCAGGTTGATCTGACTAGCAAGATGTAACCAGGGAAGAGGGCTCTGTGACTCCTGAGAGGGGCTGGGCTGTTTCTGGTTCTGCAGAAGTGGAAGTGGCCTTGCGCATATCCAGGGCACCAGTAACTGGACCCCACCCGCCTAGGGAACCACACGTGGGCACCTCCTCTGAGAAGGTCAGAGGGCACTCTGCAACACTGTGGGCAGAACGCACCGGGCTCTGCCTCTGCAACCTGGTGGGGGGGAGCTTAACTCGGCTTCCCAACCTGGTGTCAAAGAGGTTCAGGGCCTCACTTCCTCCCGGGGCCACGGGGCCAGGGAACTAAAGCTTCGCCACACGTCTCCTCTCTCTGTGGCACGTTAGGGAAGGGTCACTGAATATCAGCGCCTCGCTGGATTTCCTTACCCAATGATGAGGAATCCTTGGTAGAGAGGGACAGAGGCAAAGTAGAACACGGAAGAGAAGACAGCCTGCGGGGAGAGAGGAGGATGTCACCCCGAGTCCCGCCAGAGCCCCGACGACGTGTGCAGACCGGAAGCGGTGCCGGTGCCTCTCCACGTGGCTGTAAGCACTCGAGGTACAGGAGCTCGTGGGGTTCCCTGGACCAGCCTCAGTCAGAGGGACCGTAGTCACCCCTATCACACACGGGAGGACGGTGAGGCCTAGCGTACCTGGCTGGCCCCGTACCACACAGCTCACACCTGACAAATCCAGAAGTGAGTCTGGGGTAACCCAGCCCCAGACCGTGCTCAGCCCGTGTGGCAGTGAATTCCCAGGGCTGGAGGCAGGGAGGCTTTGCACGGGGTCTTGGCGAGTGTCCGGGGCAGCTGTGAGGTTGAGCCCAAAGCTGCCCACTGTACAGAGCAGGGCATGAGCAGCCCGCCAGACTCCAGCCCAGCCCAGCCCAGCCCAGCCCGGCCTCCGGGGCTCACGCTCCCGATGGCTCCCAGGTCCCAACACCTCCACGAGGCAACAGCACAGGGCCACCAAGTGCACCAAAGCTGACACAACAAAAGCCACAGCCTCTCTCCCCAGTGGCTGGTGCGGCAGACAGGGCTGCCCTTTTTACACCATGCATTTGAGTATCTGGAGGAATTTTTAAAAAGAGCATACGACAGGCTGCTTTTGCAATCAGACAAAAGCAGTGAAGATATTTACAAGCTGTCATGGAAACCTCCGCTTCCTGACCTAGAGATCAGCTACCGGCGGTGAGGCCCAGGTGGGAGGGTGCCACTGGCTTGCTGTCCTCTACAGTTCTTTCTTGGGACAGCTACGGGCTAACAGAAGGGCAGCAGTGTCCAGGCGTGTTTCCATGAGGACAAAGCCAAAGAAAAGAGGCTTTCAGTCGTCTCCAAGAGCGAAGCTGAGCCTCCTGGCACTCAGAGAGCGTCCACCCGGAGCGTCGCTGAGCACCCGCCACGGCTGCAGCGAGATGGCGCGTGGAGAAACCCATGCTCCCTGGGCAGAGCTGAGAACAAGTGCCACCAGTGGCCTGGCCACGGGGGCCCTGGGGCCTCGGTGTCACAGTCCCATAATCTCAGAACCAGGAAGGTATGCTCTCAGATGGCTTCTCCCCGCAAGGACAGTCTGTAAAACTCTTAAGAGACTGGTGTCATTTTGTAAGGGAACCTCACAAGCCTCTGCTCGCCTCGCAACGCTGTCCCACAGCCTCTGCCTGACAAGGACACTGCAGGGGAAGTAAAAACGCCACCAGAGACCAACATCTGGGTGCAGTCCTGGGACGCTCAGCACAGCGGGGGGGACAGTCGGTCTCCAGCACCAGGAGCTGTGCCTCATTCTGGCATTTTTTCTTTCCTGAATCAAAATTAATGCTAACATCCGGGCATTACAGCAGTCAGCTCATCCATGCCGGCTTTTGGGTTTGTGCCCAGGCACAAGCTCATTAATCTCCCAGGGGTTGAAAAACATAGCAGTATCCAGCTCAACCGATGAATTAATATAAACTAAAAGTACAGATGTGGTCACATGAACCAGGGCAGCTGTTTTTTTTTTGGTCTTTTTCATTTTTATCGGTACCAGGGATTGAACTCACGACCGCACACTTGCAAGGCAGGCGCTTATGCCGCTGAGCTAAATCCCCAGCCCCTGCTCAAGATCTTTTTGATAAAAATAATTTTCAAGATCCACTCAAAAAAGCAATTGATATTTAAAACATAAAGTCACCCAAACAGGCCCCGGTGTGGCCAGTGGAGGGTGAATTCTCATGTAGAACCCGGCTCATTCTGTAAGCAGACTGCCTTTCATGTGTGATCAAGCATGCTTCCCACACATTAGAACCTCACCTTGTATGCACACCTCATCCTATTTCGTTTCACTGACAATGATAAGGGTGCATCCCACGCTAATGCCTCAGAAAATTCTGTTCTTCAAAGTGGCCAATTCCAAGGGCAAAGATATCCCACTGCCCCTGCTTTAGAGGCAGAAAGACTGAGGCCCGGGGGATGGGGACTTGCTCACAGCCTCACAGGTGCTTAAAGGAACAGTCAGAAGGAGCTGTGGCTCCAGGACCCTCCACTGCTATGTTCTCACCATTACACGGGGAGTGTTTGCACCGCAAAGCCCAGCAGGAACACAGCCAGCAGCTTTTCAACACCCAGAATGTTCCCTTTCCTTTCCTTTGGCCCCTTTCCTATGACACTCTCAGCTATCTGATGACAGATTTTGAAGGAGCTGGTGAGGGAGAAAGTGAGCAAATACACACTCTAAAATCCTCTGTGGGCCAGGGACACAGCTCAGTGGACAGAGCAAGGTCATGAGTTCGAGCTACAGTACCAAAAAAAAAATCCTTTGTCAGAAACTCAGGCGAGAGGGGCAAAATGCTAGCCCCCTCATGGGGACAAACTTCAAAATCAAGCTCTGCTCCCCCGGGCTCTGCTGCGAACTGTGAGTGGAAAAAAGGCCTGCTCCGTGGTGAGCACGTAGTCACAGGCACCTGTGTGGAGGGGCCAGCCGTCCACCTACCTGCACAGTGTGGGTGACGTGCACCTGTGTGGAGGGGCCAGCTGCCCACCTACCTGCACAGTGTGGGTGGCGTGCACCTGTGTGGAGGGGCCAGCTCTCCACCTACCTGCACAGTGTGGGTGACGTGCACCTGTGTGGAGGGGCCAGCCGTGCACCTACCTGCACAGTGTGGGTGACGTGCACCTGTGTGGAGGGGCCAGCCGTGCACCTAACTGCACAGTGTGGGTGACGTGCACCTGTGTGGAGGGGCCAGCTCTCCACCTACCTGCACAGTGTGGGTGACGTGCACCTGTGTGGAGGGGCCAGCCGTGCACCTACCTGCACAGTGTGGGTGACGTGCACCTGTGTGGAGGGGCCAGCCGTGCACCTACCTGCACAGTGTGGGTGACGTGCACCTGTGTGGAGGGGCCAGCTCTCCACCTACCTGCACAGTGTGGGTGACGAGCACCTGTGTGGAGGGGCCAGCTGCCCACCTACCTGCACAGTGTAGGTGACGTGCACCTGTGTGGAGGGCCAGCTCTCCACCTACCTGCACAGTGTGGGTGACGTGCACCTGTGTGGAGGGCCAGCTCTCCACCTACCTGCACAGTGTGGGTGGCATGCACCTGTGTGGAAGAGCCAGCTGCCCACCTACCTGCACAGTGTGGGTGGCGTGCACCTGTGTGGAGGGCCAGCCGTGCACCTACCTGCACAGTGTGGGTGGCGTGCACCTGTGTGGAGGGGCCAGCCGTGCACCTACCTGCACAGTGTGGGTGACGTGCACCTGTGTGGAGGGGCCAGCTCTCCACCTACCTGCACAGTGTGGGTGACGTGCACCTGTGTGGAGGGGCCAGCCGTGCACCTACCTGCACAGTGTGGGTGACGTGCACCTGTGTGGAGGGGCCAGCCGTGCACCTACCTGCACAGTGTGGGTGACGTGCACCTGTGTGGAGGGGCCAGCTCTCCACCTACCTGCACAGTGTGGGTGACGTGCACCTGTGTGGAGGGGCCAGCTGCCCACCTACCTGCACAGTGTAGGTGACGTGCACCTGTGTGGAGGGCCAGCTCTCCACCTACCTGCACAGTGTGGGTGGCATGCACCTGTGTGGAAGAGCCAGCTGCCCACCTACCTGCACAGTGTGGGTGGCGTGCACCTGTGTGGAGGGCCAGCCGTGCACCTACCTGCACAGTGTGGGTGGCGTGCACCTGTGTGGAGGGCCAGCTGCCCACCTACCTGCACAGTGTGGGTGACGTGCACCTGTGTGGAGGGCCAGCCGTGCACCTACCTGCACAGTGTGGGTGGCGTGCACCTGTGTGGAGGGCCAGCTGCCCACCTACCTGCACAGTGTGGGTGGCGTGCACCTGTGTGGAGGGCCAGCCGTGCACCTACCTGCACAGTGTGGGTGGCGTGCACCTGTGTGGAGGGCCAGCTGCCCACCTACCTGCACAGTGTGGGTGACGTGCACCTGTGTGGAGGGCCAGCTCTCCACCTACCTGCACAGTGTGGGTGACGTGCACCTGTGTGGAGGGGCCAGCCGTGCACCTACCTGCACAGTGTGGGTGACGTGCACCTGTGTGGAGGGGCCAGCTCTCCACCTACCTGCACAGTGTGGGTGACGTGCACCTGTGTGGAGGGGCCAGCTGCCCACCTACCTGCACAGTGTGGGTGACGTGCACCTGTGTGGAGGGCCAGCTCTCCACCTACCTGCACAGTGTGGGTGGCATGCACCTGTGTGGAAGAGCCAGCTGCCCACCTACCTGCACAGTGTGGGTGGCGTGCACCTGTGTGGAGGGCCAGCCGTGCACCTACCTGAACAGTGTGGGTGGCGTGCACCTGTGTGGAGGGCCAGCTGCCCACCTACCTGCACAGTGTGGGTGACGTGCACCTGTGTGGAGGGCCAGCTCTCCACCTACCTGCACAGTGTGGGTGACGTGCACCTGTGTGGAGGGCCAGCTCTCCACCTACCTGCACAGTGTGGGTGGCGTGCACCTGTGTGGAAGAGCCAGCTGCCCACCTACCTGCACAGTGTGGGTGGCATGCACCTGTGTGGAGGGGCCAGCTGCCCACCTACCTGCACAGTGTGGGTGGCGTGCACCTGTGTGGAGGGCCAGCTCTCCACCTACCTGCACAGTGTGGGTGACGTGCACCTGTGTGGAGGGCCAGCTCTCCACCTACCTGCACAGTGTGGGTGGCGTGCACCTGTGTGGAGGGCCAGCTCTCCACCTACCTGCACAGTGTGGGTGACGTGCACCTGTGTGGAGGGGCCAGCCGTGCACCTACCTGCACAGTGTGGGTGGCGTGCACCTGTGTGGAGGGCCAGCTGCCCACCTACCTGCACAGTGTGGGTGACGTGCACCTGTGTGGAGGGCCAGCTCTCCACCTACCTGCACAGTGTGGGTGACGTGCACCTGTGTGGAGGGCCAGCTCTCCACCTACCTGCACAGTGTGGGTGACGTGCACCTGTGTGGAGGGCCAGCTCTCCACCTACCTGCACAGTGTGGGTGGCGTGCACCTGTGTGGAGGGCCAGCTCTCCACCTACCTGCACAGTGTGGGTGACGTGCACCTGTGTGGAGGGGCCAGCCGTGCACCTACCTGCACAGTGTGGGTGGCGTGCACCTGTGTGGAGGGCCAGCTGCCCACCTACCTGCACAGTGTGGGTGACGTGCACCTGTGTGGAGGGCCAGCTCTCCACCTACCTGCACAGTGTGGGTGACGTGCACCTGTGTGGAGGGCCAGCTCTCCACCTACCTGCACAGTGTGGGTGGCGTGCACCTGTGTGGAAGAGCCAGCTGCCCACCTACCTGCACACTGTGGGTGGCATGCACCTGTGTGGAGGGGCCAGCTGCCCACCTACCTGCACAGTGTGGGTGGCGTGCACCTGTGTGGAAGAGCCAGCTGCCCACCTACCTGCACAGTGTGGGTGGCATGCACCTGTGTGGAGGGGCCAGCTGCCCACCTACCTGCACAGTGTGGGTGGCGTGCACCTGTGTGGAGGGCCAGCCATGCACCTACCTGCACAGTGTGGGTGACGTGCACCTGTGTGGAGGGCCAGCTGCCCACCTACCTGCACAGTGTGGGTGACGTGCACCTGTGTGGAGGGCCAGCTCTCCACCTACCTGCACAGTGTGGGTGGCATGCACCTGTGTGGAAGAGCCAGCTGCCCACCTACCTGCACAGTGTGGGTGGCGTGCACCTGTGTGGAGGGCCAGCCGTGCACCTACCTGAACAGTGTGGGTGGCGTGCACCTGTGTGGAGGGCCAGCTGCCCACCTACCTGCACAGTGTGGGTGACGTGCACCTGTGTGGAGGGCCAGCTCTCCACCTACCTGCACAGTGTGGGTGACGTGCACCTGTGTGGAGGGCCAGCTCTCCACCTACCTGCACAGTGTGGGTGGCGTGCACCTGTGTGGAAGAGCCAGCTGCCCACCTACCTGCACAGTGTGGGTGGCATGCACCTGTGTGGAGGGGCCAGCTGCCCACCTACCTGCACAGTGTGGGTGGCGTGCACCTGTGTGGAGGGCCAGCTCTCCACCTACCTGCACAGTGTGGGTGACGTGCACCTGTGTGGAGGGCCAGCTCTCCACCTACCTGCACAGTGTGGGTGGCGTGCACCTGTGTGGAGGGCCAGCTCTCCACCTACCTGCACAGTGTGGGTGACGTGCACCTGTGTGGAGGGGCCAGCCGTGCACCTACCTGCACAGTGTGGGTGGCGTGCACCTGTGTGGAGGGCCAGCTGCCCACCTACCTGCACAGTGTGGGTGACGTGCACCTGTGTGGAGGGCCAGCTCTCCACCTACCTGCACAGTGTGGGTGACGTGCACCTGTGTGGAGGGCCAGCTCTCCACCTACCTGCACAGTGTGGGTGACGTGCACCTGTGTGGAGGGCCAGCTCTCCACCTACCTGCACAGTGTGGGTGGCGTGCACCTGTGTGGAGGGCCAGCTCTCCACCTACCTGCACAGTGTGGGTGACGTGCACCTGTGTGGAGGGGCCAGCCGTGCACCTACCTGCACAGTGTGGGTGGCGTGCACCTGTGTGGAGGGCCAGCTGCCCACCTACCTGCACAGTGTGGGTGACGTGCACCTGTGTGGAGGGCCAGCTCTCCACCTACCTGCACAGTGTGGGTGACGTGCACCTGTGTGGAGGGCCAGCTCTCCACCTACCTGCACAGTGTGGGTGGCGTGCACCTGTGTGGAAGAGCCAGCTGCCCACCTACCTGCACAGTGTGGGTGGCATGCACCTGTGTGGAGGGGCCAGCTGCCCACCTACCTGCACAGTGTGGGTGGCGTGCACCTGTGTGGAAGAGCCAGCTGCCCACCTACCTGCACAGTGTGGGTGGCATGCACCTGTGTGGAGGGGCCAGCTGCCCACCTACCTGCACAGTGTGGGTGGCGTGCACCTGTGTGGAGGGCCAGCCATGCACCTACCTGCACAGTGTGGGTGACGTGCACCTGTGTAGAGGGGCCAGCAGTCCACCTACCTGCACAGTGTGGGTGGTGTGCACCTGTGTGGAGGGCCAGCTCTCCACCTACCTGCACAGTGTGGGTGACGTGCACCTGTGTGGAGGGGCCAGCAGTCCACCTACCTGCACAGTGTGGGTGACGTGCACCTGTGTGGAGGGGCCAGCTCTCCACCTACCTGCACAGTGTGGGTGACGTGCACCTGTGTGGAGGGCCAGCTCTCCACCTACCTGCACAGTGTGGGTGACGTGCACCTGTGTGGAGGGCCAGCTCTCCACCTACCCGCACAGTGTGGGTGACGTGCACCTGTGTGGAGGGCCAGCTCTCCACCTACCTGCACAGTGTGGGTGACGTGCACCTGTGTGGAGGGCCAGCTCTCCACCTACCCGCACAGTGTGGGTGACGTGCACCTGTGTGGAGGAGCCAGCTGTCCACCTACCTGCACAGTGTGGGTGACGTGCACCTGTGTGGAGGGCCAGCTCTCCACCTACCTGCACAGTGTGGGTGACGTGCACCTGTGTGGAGGGCCAGCTCTCCACCTACCTGCACAGTGTGGGTGGCGTGCACCTGTGTGGAAGAGCCAGCTGCCCACCTACCTGCACAGTGTGGGTGGCATGCACCTGTGTGGAGGGGCCAGCTGCCCACCTACCTGCACAGTGTGGGTGGCGTGCACCTGTGTGGAGGGCCAGCTCTCCACCTACCTGCACAGTGTGGGTGACGTGCACCTGTGTGGAGGGCCAGCTCTCCACCTACCTGCACAGTGTGGGTGGCGTGCACCTGTGTGGAGGGCCAGCTCTCCACCTACCTGCACAGTGTGGGTGACGTGCACCTGTGTGGAGGGGCCAGCCGTGCACCTACCTGCACAGTGTGGGTGGCATGCACCTGTGTGGAGGGCCAGCTGCCCACCTACCTGCACAGTGTGGGTGACGTGCACCTGTGTGGAGGGCCAGCTCTCCACCTACCTGCACAGTGTGGGTGACGTGCACCTGTGTGGAGGGCCAGCTCTCCACCTACCTGCACAGTGTGGGTGATGTGCACCTGTGTGGAGGGCCAGCTCTCCACCTACCTGCACAGTGTGGGTGGCGTGCACCTGTGTGGAGGGCCAGCTCTCCACCTACCTGCACAGTGTGGGTGACGTGCACCTGTGTGGAGGGGCCAGCCGTGCACCTACCTGCACAGTGTGGGTGGCGTGCACCTGTGTGGAGGGCCAGCTGCCCACCTACCTGCACAGTGTGGGTGACGTGCACCTGTGTGGAGGGCCAGCTCTCCACCTACCTGCACAGTGTGGGTGACGTGCACCTGTGTGGAGGGCCAGCTCTCCACCTACCTGCACAGTGTGGGTGGCGTGCACCTGTGTGGAAGAGCCAGCTGCCCACCTACCTGCACAGTGTGGGTGGCATGCACCTGTGTGGAGGGGCCAGCTGCCCACCTACCTGCACAGTGTGGGTGGCGTGCACCTGTGTGGAAGAGCCAGCTGCCCACCTACCTGCACAGTGTGGGTGGCATGCACCTGTGTGGAGGGGCCAGCTGCCCACCTACCTGCACAGTGTGGGTGGCGTGCACCTGTGTGGAGGGCCAGCCATGCACCTACCTGCACAGTGTGGGTGACGTGCACCTGTGTAGAGGGGCCAGCAGTCCACCTACCTGCACAGTGTGGGTGGTGTGCACCTGTGTGGAGGGCCAGCTCTCCACCTACCTGCACAGTGTGGGTGACGTGCACCTGTGTGGAGGGGCCAGCAGTCCACCTACCTGCACAGTGTGGGTGACGTGCACCTGTGTGGAGGGGCCAGCTCTCCACCTACCTGCACAGTGTGGGTGACGTGCACCTGTGTGGAGGGCCAGCTCTCCACCTACCTGCACAGTGTGGGTGACGTGCACCTGTGTGGAGGGCCAGCTCTCCACCTACCCGCACAGTGTGGGTGACGTGCACCTGTGTGGAGGAGCCAGCTGTCCACCTACCTGCACAGTGTGGGTGGCGTGCACCTGTGTGGAGGGGCCAGCTGTCCACCTACCTGCACAGTGTGGGTGGCGTGCACCTGTGTGGAGGGGCCAGCTGTCCACCTACCTGCACAGTGTGGGTGGCATGCACCTGTGTGGAGGGCCAGCCGTGCACCTACCTAAACAGTGTGGTGACGTGCACCTGTGTGGAGGGCCAGCTCTCCACCTACCTGCACAGTGTAGGTGATGTGCACCTGTGTGGAGGAGCCAGCTGCCTGCCCCCCTGCGCAGCATGGATCACACACATCCGTGCTGAGGCGCCAGCTATCTACCCACCTGCATGGTGCTGATGCAGAGGCTCCTGTGGATCACAAACTGGCTGAGAGCAGCTGAGCGCTTGTAGCTGTTCCTGCCATGCACCATAAGCAGCCGGCCGAGGTGCTTAAACTGGGTGATAGAGAAGTCTGCAGCCAGTGAAGCCTGTTTTCCTTCCTAGAATCCAACGCAATTGGGCTCCGTCAGAAGCGCACAGGTTCAATGCAAACACATTCTTTTAATTGGAAAAATAAAACACGGTAAGAGGATCTTTGAAGAAACTCAATAAAGAGATTCTTTGGTCTCAAACTATATGCAGTTGGTGGTCCAACTCTAAATTTGATTTAAAAAGAGGAATTTATTTAAATAAAAACACACTGAGTCACAGATAGTTGTAATTTGGAGGTCAAATGAATTTAGCATTAAGCCTTCAGGGTTCAGCCCCTCTAATGTGTGTCAGGAGCAAACAACTGATCCACGATAGCAGAAATCTGTGTTTTATAACATTCGGGTCCCCGCAGAGGTAAACATAACAGAGAAAAATCACGATGCTCCGGCAATATTAAATGGAATACTCCTGACACACAACTCTGCAGAAGGGGAAGCAACTGACGGGGCCACCAGTTAGCGGAATCCCTCATTTTCCAGCCATCTGATTAACAGCAACATGGGCAGAGGGACATGAGAGCCTCGGGCTGTGATGACAGGGACAACACACGCTTCCCTCTGTGACACACCACAGCCTAAATCAAATCAACTGGGCCAGCACGTGCCACGGGACACCCTGTGACTAACTGTCCTGAGTGCTTCAGAAGTGCCCCAGACATGAAAAAACACACCCCCACCCCACAAGAGCACAAAGACAGAGAAGTGTTTTACATTAAACAAGATTAAAGAGGCCAGCAATCATGCTAATAAGTGAAATCTGTGATCCTTGATTAGTTTCTGGGATTTTTTTTTTTTTAAAGCTATACAGACATTCTGAGGAACCTGGAGAAATGTGACTCTGAACATCCCTACAGTGGTGCCACTGCATCAGAGCTGTTGCCGTAGGGGAAACTGTTGTAAAGTGACCCCTGCAGGGGCGAGGGGGAACACAGGATCACCAGTGCAGTTCACCTGCAGCTGATCCAGAGAAAGAGGAGCAAGCGGCAAATGCTAGCAAAAGGTAAACTAAAGGGCAAGGAGATAGGAGATGGTCATTGTTTTTCAAAACAAAAAAGAGGTTGAGACGTAAATGGTCATACACACCCTAACAGGGAAAAAACCTAAGACATAACAGATTTAAGTTAGCTGCACGCCAAAATGTGTAGCATTTTCAATTTCAAATTATACACAAATATCTATGTATGTGTAAGATATGCATATCCATTACATGTAATAGATACACATGGGCACCCACTACCAATAACCCATGCACAGGAAAAGATGGGGGAGAACATCCAACGTTAACAGTTTGATGCTGCTGTACTTCATTCTTAAGTGATTTTTGTTGATAGTACTTTTATACTCTAAAATACAAAGGAATGGGAATATGAGTGCAATACTAATGTTTAGTTCTATGTAGGAAACTGTAAACAATTCCATCAAATGTGAGCATACTTAAAGGCTCTGTGCAGGTTTCAGACTTTGGGTCTCATGCAAGAATCATCTGCCTCTGCAACACACACACACACTGAGAACTAGAGAAGCAGAAAGCCAGAGAAAGGAGAAAGAAAAGGAAAGGCAGGCTTATATCTTGCGCCTGCTTCTAAGATCAGAAATGAGGCGGGCGGAGTGGATCGTAAGGGACAGGCCCTCAGGTGACAAGGGGAAAGACAGAAAAGCTGTAACGCACAGATCTCTCGGAATCACAGCCGCCAGCTGGACGCAGCGGCACACCTGTAACCCTCGCTACCCGCGAGGCTGAGGTGGGAGGACCCAAGTCCCAGGCCAGCCTAGGCACCGTAGTAAGACCTGGCCTGCAAATGAAGTTTTAGAAAGGGCTGGAGACACAGCGATGTTACAGGTTCAATCCCTACTACACCAACTAGATAACCAGGCAGATACATAGGCAGACAGACAGACAGACACAGGACCAGCTGTGGCCTTTCAGTGAAGGCTAAACTTGCCACAGTCTTCCCTAACCTCGAAGACAGCAGCAGACGCCCTGATAATGAACCGGGCTGACTACCACAGGAAGGCTTGCAGTGCAGTCTCTGTACCCTAAGCATGCAACCATTTTTCTATCCTAAATCTGGGTACTGGCAAGCCAAGTTGGCATGGATCTGTGAACCGCTGTGCTGTGGGTCTTGGGGTGCAGGGAACACGCGGTTCCCCGTTGTCACTCTCACCCCAGACTCCCTAAGCACCCTGCTGTGTCTCTGCAGGGAGGGGAAGCCACAGGGCAGCTCGAGCTCACCTTCCCTTCCACCCCCACGCCGCAGTCGGACTCCTGGATCATGCTGACGTCGTTCCCCCCGTCACCTGCAGGGCACACAGACCACGAAGAGAGATGAGAAAGGGGTGAGGCAGGAGAGCCTCCGCCCCTCACAGCTCGCAACAGAGTGCTCTGCCGGCCGCTCACTGTCCCACCCACTCACCCACCCACCTACCCACCTGTGCCTTTGGCACCCCCCCCCACAGATCAGCACTAGAGGGACCAGGGATTCATGGGGCTGCAGCACTGAGCAAGAGTGGCCACACCACACTGGTGTTCACAGCCAGCCCAGCACCCTTGGGTCACCATCACCACTGCAGCCGTGACTAGCACTGCCCATCCTGAGCATGCATGGTACACTGGGGCTGGCACCTTTTCAATGGGCCCCTTTCCAGCCTTGGAAGTACCACATGAGGAAGCCACTGCCATCATCCCACTCTAGCAAGGAGCAAAGAGAGGCGCGGGTGGGCAAAGGAAGCCACCCGGGGCACCCAGCCCATAAAAGCCAGCAGAGGGGTTTGAGCCCAATCTGATTCTGCAAAACGTGGTCCCCACCCCTGTGGGGTGCTGTGATACCAGCAGAGCAGAAGAAGCCCTGGACCTGTTTACTCCATTTCTCAAAAGGAAATATAAAAACAATAGTAACAGCTGCGCAAGGCGGCACGTGCTCCTAACCATCACTTCCATCTCCTCAGTGACTGAGGTAGGAGGCCAGCTTGAGCAGCTTAGCAAAGCCCTGCCTCAGGACAAGAGACAGCTGGGCAGGTAGCTCAGCAGCAGAATGCCCCTGGCACAGTCCCCAGTACCGCAAATAACAACAAAAAGAATAAAGTGGCCTGGGGAATCTGAATACACCTACAGGGTCCGATTATTTTTATGAAAAAATAAATTCAGTGTAGGAGGAGGACAAGGTTAACAATAGAGGGCCCCAAACACGGCCCATTACTGCACAGGTGAGCCTAAATTGCACAGGTATGTTTGCCTTCTGTGCAGGGAGCTGAGACCACACAGGTGCGCTTACCCACTGCGCAGGTGAGCTTTCCGGTGCGTTCCTGGAGCAGGCGCACGATCTGGGCCTTCTGGGTGGGGGCGCAGCGGCAGCAGACCACGGCTGGGCACTGGCAGGCCAGCTCCATGAACTCATACTCGTAGTATTTGAGGCACACCTGGGGGGACATGTGGACACACAGAGGGGGTCGGCCGAGGTCCCCTCCAAGCCCTGGGGCTCCCACCCAGGAAGATGCCCGCTCCCCACAGGGCCCCTGCACCCACCTCCAGCGAGTCTCCAGAAATGACCAGGGCACAGTCGTGTTTCCTCCGGAAGGCATTCAGCTCCAGGTGGGCCTCGCCGCGGTTGGTCACCTGGAAGGGAACAGAGATGTGCAGGCCTTGCTCTCTGGAGCATGGGACAATGAAGAGGGAGGACAACAGTCACTCCAGCCGAGGACAGAGTCGGGAGGGCCTGTGGGACCTGGAGAGCCTACACACCAACCATCACCCTCTATTCCCTGGGACTAACACGGCCTGGGCTTCCCCGATGGGCCAGCCCTGCCCCGACACTTCCGTGGCTTTCTCACGTTTATTCTCCCAGTGACCCTAGAGACGCACAATCACAGCTCCATCTTCCGCTTCAGGAGACTGAAGCACAGCGAGCTGTGTGAGCCTAAAGCAGCACAGGAGGACGGGGAGAGCGGGTAAGCAGAGCCAGGCATCTGGCCACGGAAGGCCAGCGGTATCGGCTGCAAACCGTGTGGCCAACTCGGCTCTGTAGCCTGGCACAGAAGCAGCTCTGGACAACATGTGACTGAGCCAGTGTGACTGCGTTCTGATAGAAGAAAACCCCTGTCACTCACCAGCGAGGTGGCTGGCCCGGGAGCCACAGTCTGTAACCCGTGAACAACAGAACCCGGGGCTTTACAAACTCACTGGACAGCGGAGGGGCAGGACCCTGCAAGCCTATGCTCACAGTATTTTCACCAACACGTATGTCTTGTTTGCGGTCAAGAATGTCCCCCAAAAGGTTCATGGTGCCCACTGCTCATCTGTTGCTTGCTGAGGGGCTTTGGGGAAGGGGCTGGACCGAGGGGGACAAGTCTCACTGGCGGGTTACACCACTGGGGAGGTCACAGCTCAGGAGGTGGTCAGCAGGAGGCGGGTCTGGGAGAAGTGGGTCACCGGAAGGCCACCCCAGGAGGGTGTGCCTTACTCCCAACCCTTGTCCTCCCTGCCCAGCTGCCAGGAGCGAGCGGCCACCTCTGCCTCTGGCTCCTTCCATCAAGATGCTCCTGCCTCCTCACAGACCAAAGTCACAGAGCCGAGTGACCATGGGCGAAACCTCTGAATCTGTGAGCCGAAATTACTCCTCATTAGAGCTGCTTCCTGAGATCTCTGCATAGTGACAAAGGCTACCTTGGCATCCTAGACCAGTGAACACACAGCCAGCGGCCCTGGGGCTCTGGCCTGAAGGTGGCTCACAGAACCCCCGGTTCCCAGCAGACACTCCCTGGCTGTGCTCCACAGCCCTGTGCTGAGGACCGTTCTGAACTGCAAACTACTGACAAAAAGCACAAAAATGCAGAAAGTCCAACACTTAAGTGAACTGTGGCAAGGCCACTGTTACCGTCTGAGGCCACTTTGCCCGTGTTCAGCCTCAGCCTGGAAGGTGCTCGCTGGGGCACTAAACGTCTTTTCTACTCTATGTATAATCAGCAAATATGGTGAACCGTTAAGAATTATTTCAGTAAAACACAGTGTAACGAACCCTACTGAAACCCTCCCCTTCCCCCCATACCCTCCTCCCAACACTGTGCTTTCTAGAGCAGTTCTGGAGTCCTCGTTCACAAATGTCTTCAGCTGCAATCACGACGCCTGATGTCCTGAGTTGATTCTAATTCAGCAGAGGAAATCCAGAAGATGAGGACAAGGGAGACAAACTTAGTGTTTTTAGGAGCCCGCCTTTCCGTGGATACCACTGAGCAGATAAGCAGATAAATATGCTCACTGTATCACACTTCATAAGAAAGACACAAAGGAGGACTGCAGAACTGCATCAGAAAGTAGAGAGAGGGCAGGGGGATGTGTGTGAGCAGAGTGAACGGTGATGTCTTCTAATGCAGTAAAAAGTTTTAAACATTCACTGTGTATTCTGATCACACCTCACGGCTGCAAGCGACTGTGAAAGTGTTATGTTTTGGGGTCTGTCTTGGTTCATGTCTGTGGCCCCCAGGCCTCATGAGTTTGCATTGTGCATTTGTGATGGTTCATTGTCTAGTGCTTGGATTGATGGCGTCAGTGCTCCCCCCACAAAGGGGTGGAGCCAGGATGTGACGTAATGGCAGGAAGAAGGTGCGTCTTGCTCTTTGCTGGTTCCGCTTTGCTGTTTACAGCCGCCATGAACGGCGGCCCAGCCATGCCTGCCTGCCTTGGAGCCAACTGAGATGGACTGAAACCTCCAAAAACTGTAAGAAATAAACCTTTCCTTTCCCAACTTGGGCATCAGGTACTTTGTCTCAGTGATGAGCATAAAGTAACTAAGACAGAATTACAAATACATTTTAGGAGAATTCACAAATCCACAAATGAGGAGAAGGAACTGTATCTGCTTCTATACGACAGTATTATTCCAAAACTTCTTGGATTTCTTGAAGTTTCTCTGTACTATGGACTAAAAGCAAAGATATCCCCCAGCCCACCCTGCCAAGAACCATCTAGAACCCCTCAGGCTCTGCTTTCAGGTAAGTGAGGCTAACACATCCGCCCCACCTAATGCACCACCTGCGGGCACAGAACTCGCAGGAGGAAGCAGCCCTGATACAGGCACCGGTCAGGTCGAGCACTGTCTGAAGAGCAGGTTTCTCACGGCCCCTCCAGTGGGACAGCTGCTTCAAATGCCCCTCAGTGGTCCCAAATGCTTCCCCACAGAGGGCAGCCAGCCTGGGGGCCGGCACTTCCTTCTTATCAGAGGCCCTGGTCTTTGGAAGGGAACCCCAGGAAGCAGGCTATGAGCTGGTCTGCCTCTCTGTAGGGGCACTACCTTTTCTTGGCATCTTAGAGGGGACTGTGCCCCAGAAGGGTAAGAGCGCAGTGTGGGTGCAGGGCTGCAATGAAGGGCTGCAATGAAGGGCTGCCGAGTCCCTGCCAGAGGACTCCTCCACCGCACCAGGCCCCCCTGCCAACTACCTGGCTGCGGCCCCCCATCTCGGTACCCAGCATGCTTCCGCTCCCCTCTTCAGGGCCCCCTCGTCACCCCCATGTGGCCCTGACACACAGACGCTTTACCAGCCGAAACACGTGGATGTCCTGGTTTCTGGTCACCAGATGTGCGTTCTTGGCGGTGCAGGTGGCGGTCTCCAGCTTGTCCCCCGTCAGCATCCAGACCTGAAGTGTGGCAGGAAGGGCAGCAGGTGCTGGGTTCTGAGCCCGGCCTGTCACGGCTGAGTACCCAGAACACCGAGCCGAGCTCGCTCCCCTGTTCACCTCCTTGAGACTCAGTGTCCCCACGTGTCATGAGAAGGTTCCGAGGAAAGGGTTTTGCAACCTCGAGCAAACACTGCTGGTGGCACCAAAAGCTGATGGGACACTTTACAAAGAGCCACCGCAAGCTTCAGGACATAGAGAAGCTCAGTCTCGAGGCCTTGCAACCCCATTCTGAGAACTTTCCATAAAGCAACGAACAACCTAAGAGGAGAAAGACTGACTGGATGAGCGGTCATTCTGTGTCCTGCGGGCAGCGCTAAGACATGGCTCTTCAGATTCTCTACATCGGCAGACCCTTGGGCCACAATCTCCTGGGGTCAACTCTGGTCTAAAAAGTGCTGCCAGCAAAGGTGCGAGGTCCTCCGTCCCTTGTGTCCCGTCACTCTGCATGTCCCTGCTGCGGGCCAGGGGAGGGCAGCTGACACACTGGAAGCCACACAGCGGGCCAGTGTCCTAACTGGACCTGAATCCGGATCGGCAGAGCCCAGGTGGAAGGTGCTTCCTGCTCTGCTCGGGAAGTGCACTGACCCTTTGCTTTGTTCTCTGTGCTGCCGGCACGGAGGGGTCTTGGGGTCTGGGCAGAGGGAGGGCATGGGAAAGGAAACAGCAGACATTTCCAGAGTGTTCACCACTCGCTGGGCACCCAGTGCTGCTGCCCTTTCATGAGACCTTCATGAGGTAGGACACCTGCCACTTGCCTTTTGACAGAAACGTGTGAAAAGCAGTGGAACCCCACCTTCCGGTGGTCCTCTCACCTCGGGGCCCCTACCCTGCCGTGTGCCCAGTGCCTGCACTGCTTTCCCCCAAATCCAAAATCACCTTCCACAAAGCTTCCAGGGTTTGACTAAAAAAAAAACAACATTGAGGAAAAGGCTAAGAGGCTTCCACTCTGGGAAGCCAGGAGCAGAACTACCAAGGGCACCCTGTAACTGACACCCCTCCCTGGGGCGACAGGCACCAGATGTGCCCAGGACCCAGCGCCAGACCCAGTCGTCACTTCACAGGCAAAAACCCAGAGCAGCCGTCACACTCGGCCACAGCTTCTGCAGGTGTCAAAAGGCAGAGTGGAAAATGCCAAGTTTAGCACCTTCTGGGCTGCCAAGAACTGCAACTTGGACTGAGCCACAAGCTCACCTGGTGAGGTCACCTGCTCCTCCCCACTCCATCTTGCGGGGAACCTAGACACAGGAAGTGACATCCACCCTGTAGCACTCAAGTTCCTTGCCTGTGGCAGGACAGCACCAAGGAGGGGGAAACCCTAGGACAGCACTGGGCACGGGAAGTGGAATCTCCCGAGCTGGAGAGAAGGGGACCTCACAACACCAGAGCTCCCCAAATGGGCCCCTGCTGGCTGCTGCCTTGAGGCAGAGCAGGCCTGGGAGCCAGAGGCCCAGGCGAGCTCGGGCTTAGGAGGAGGAGCGCAGGCTCCCCAGGGGCCTGGCTGCTGGTTTCTTCTGCCCTAATCCAGAATCCCTGCAGAGCCTTGCTTAAAGGGCAGCGTCCTGTGCCACACACAGGTCCCAGGACACAGCCCAGAGGTGCTGGATAGTGTAAACAGGTGGTGACACACACTCGTCTCCAAGAGCCGCCTCCCTGTGGGTTCTCCAGCGAGTCATGAGCTACACAACCACGTTTCAGCCAGAAACACATAGCACGTACTGCACTGAGCCCTCAAGGCAGTAATGGAGCTGGGACATCCCCACCACTAAGTGACATCAAGGCCGCCACTGTGCGGCCAGTCAGCCGAGTTCAGCACAGGGGTCGCCTCGGTGCCCGAGTGCTTGCCGAGCGTGCATGGTTAAAAACAACAAACAAACAAATGCAAAACAGGGAAGTGTAGTCTGCACTTTGGAGGCCGACTTCAGTGTTTCTACATGAGAACGCTGAGCCTGAGGCAGCGCCAGCAGCGGCCTCACACAGCTTGTGTTCACGCGTCCTGGCTGCACCGAGCTGCACCGAGCTGCACCGAGCGGTCCTCTGCCACCCAAGTTGGTGCAAGTGCACTCTACAAGGTCAGCAGGCCTGGTGACAATGACCCGAGGGTCCACAGTGCCTGAGCAGCACATGCTCCTGGACGCCCTGTGATTGGCTTTTCTGGGGCTCCTTGGGACACAGCCCAGGCCTCAGATGCCCTCTACGGACCCCACAGAATGGGTCTGTGGTGGGAAAGTGTGAAATGGAAATGGTAAATTAGCCCCGGGGCCTCTCTGCTGGACGGTCGCTCAGGGACTCACTGTACCACCCACACACAGCCCGGGTATGCTGGGCCCAGTGACCAGAGATACACGTACATGGACCTGCCTACGGGGAGCCCCACAGGGTTGGAGAGGCTACCCCCCAAAAGAGGGAACAGCCCCCGAGATGCCTCCTGGAATGAGGGCTGTGAGGATGCAGAGGACGTCGGGGTCCTTCCTTCAGGGGGCACTAGAGCCCCCTCCTCCTCTCCCCGCCCCTCCGAGCACTGCGGCTACCTTGATGCCTGCGTTGCGCAGCGTCTCCAGCGTGGGCCGCACGTCCGCCTGCAGCTGGTCCTCCACGCCCGTCAGGCACAGCAGCTCCATCTCCATCTCCAGGCTCTCAATCACCGTGGCAACTTTGAGGGAGCGGTCGTGCACACTCAGCTTGGCCTGGACGTAGCGGGCCTGGGGCACATGGTGATACATCCCACTCAGAGTGAGGAACCAGCCGGCCGCCTGGATCCTACCACACCCCAGCAGGAGGGCTGGCCTCGAGGGGGTCCAATAGGCTTCCGTCCTCCACCTGAGCCCATCTGTCCAGGGATGAAGGTGGACACACCACCCACCCCAGCCAGTGGTTCTCTTATTTTCCCCTTACCACGCTAGCAAAACCTGGGGAAAATGCCCTCGTGTGCCTCAAGTAGACACTTCTAACTGAAATGCAGATAGTCTTTGTCTACAGGACAGAACTCCTATTAAATAAAGGCTTACAAAGACATAAAACACAAAAAGACAGACCCACAAGGAGCTGCTTTGAGGGTAGGCGACCGCCTTCCCCCAAGATACGAGCCTGATGCCAGATACCAGGGACACAGCAGTGAGCAATGCACAAGCGATGGGGCAAATGCCAGTGTTTTTTTCCTAAAGCTGAAAGATGAACAAGGCCTCCCAATGGGTGTTTTAGTCCCAATTATCCAGAAGGCTACGGCACGCCAAGATCTTTCCCAATCGGGCACCAGGATACAGGCACAAACCAGTGACAAAGTCTTTGCCCTTAGAAAGGTTTTATTCCTGAGAGAAGATGGCCAAGATGAATATTTAAAAATTACAAACAAGGGCACTGAAGAGTCTAGCAACCCGTGCGATGCAGCAAGTTAAATCAGTGACAGACAGAAAGTGACGGGGTGAGGCTGTCCTAGGAAGGTGGTTTAGAAGGCTTCCCAGAGGGGCAGCACTAAGCTGAGCTTCAGACGCAACACAGGAGTGGACCGTGGAGCTGCATGGGGCGGGAGAGCCAGGCACAGAACAGCAGGGACCAAGGTCCCAAAACCACAGAGAAGCAAGGTGCTCAGCCAGAGGTCAAGATGGCCAGTGAGGGACGGACAAAAGGGGCAGCAGGAGGTGCACAGGGAGGCGGGGGGCTGCAGGCACACCGCCAGATCAGGAGCCACTCACCTCGAAGTCCTGGTACTGCTCCTCCGCAAGAGACTTCTTGGCCACCACGAGCACCCGCAGGCCCTCCCGGGCCATGTTGCCACACTGCAAAGCAGACGGGGTCAACGGGGAGCTGTGCAGAGGGGACTGCCCTGAGCCCCAGACTGTTGTACAGGACTGGACACAGAGGTGCACAGCACGTGTATTCCTCCCAAGGGCGCAGGGAAGAGAGCAGACCAGGAAGCTTTCCTGGAAGCTACAGTTCCCCAAGTCAAGGTCCACAGGGGGCTGCAGACACGAGCTTCCTCACACCGGCATGGGTGCGTCACCATTGAGATCAACTTGGTGAGGCTGCACTCACAAGCACGGAGCACAGGCTAGGCGGGAAACTGAACATCTGGTAAAACCAGGCTCATTTTCCAGATAACCATCATCTGCGACGGCTGCCAAGTGGCTCCTCCTGTATGATCCCCCAAAAAAATCAGGTGGCCAGGGAAGAACATTCCAAACATTGAACAATCAAGTGCAGCCTGGCCAGAACATGCACAGGCCCATGTGATTTGTCTGTCACCTGCCTGGTCACAGATGTTTGATCTGTAACCCTCGAATTGGACTATAATGTCACCAACAAATTCAAGTGTGCCTCCCTCCTGCTGCTGGCCAACGCCAACTGACCATGTCACAAACTGGAATAGGTGGCCTCCAGTGATGGCCGCTTCCTGAATTCATGGTCGTGCACAACCACCTGTCCCTTGAGTGTAGCCTGCTCCTACCAAGCGTCATGCCTAAGGACCAAGGGGCTGCCACAGCTGAGCCCAGGTTGCCCAGACGGTGACATCTGGCTTGCACATTTTGATCCTTCACCTGGACACTGACAAAGCCAGCTGCAAGGCCATGAGCTGCCCCATGACAAAGGGGCCCACACAGCAAAGGAGGGAGGGGGCCTCGGACATGGGCCCAAGCAACCTCAGAGTGGACACTGCCCAGCCGGGTCTTCAGAGGAGCAGCAGCCTGCAGGAGGCCTGGGCAGAGGGACACCCTGACTCTGCCTCATCGGGGCCTGAGCAGCACAACATGCACCGTGCAAGAGCAAAGGCTGCAGCCTCCCTGGCCACACTTCCTGCCTGCCACCTGCTCACCTCCTCCTCCAGCCAGTCATTGTACTGCACGATGCCAGCCATGACAACGTCAGCCCCCTTCATGTAGAACGTGATTTCTCCCGTGGACTCGTCCTGGGGAGGGAGGAGAGAGGCATGAACGCCTGCCTGCGAGGACCCCTCCCTCTGCCCTGCACCCGCTTCCCGTCTCAGACGAGGCTCCGAGAGTCGGCGGCAGACGCCGTTGTGTTTTCCCTTGGCTGAAGATAAAACGCACGAGGGGGCCTGGCTTCGGGGCAAAGGTCATGGAAAGCAGAAGAAAACTCAAAGCGTCTGGAAAGTTATTTGATGATAAGAGCAAGATCAAAAAGTGTTATGCTATTTGTTTTTTAGAGTCATCACTTTTCCAGATGGAAAGGACACCAAAAGTGTTAAAGACGATTTTAAATTTATACATCAGACTTCCAGCATCGCCAACTGCGGTCCAGGGCAGAGGAGAGATGATGCCCCGACCGGCACGTCTCAGCCTCTCCACAGGAAGATAGCTGGTCCCCTGTGGGTCCCCGCAGAGTGGCCTCCCAGCATCACTCTACGACACACAGTCACAGCCTCCCTGTGACAACAGAAATGGTCTCCGGACAGCTGAGACACGGTGATTTCAATCATCCAGACCCTGATGTCGGAGGACTTGCCCCAGAGCAGGTGACACCCACAGAAAGTGCTCCTCCACCCTGATGGGGTGAGGGTCACTCCCTAAATCCCAGGATCATGTTGTGTTATGGAGAACAAGTCTCCGCCCAGGGTTGGTGACCCTGGCCCCACCCAGGTTGGCCTCCAGGGGACATCTCATGATGTCAGATGACATCTGTGGCCATCATAAGGCTGAGGGTGAACTACAGGCATGTGAGGGAGACAGGTCAGGGGTGCTCCAAATACCCTCCAGTGCCCAGGATGGCCCCAAAGCCAACAATTCGCCCAGCCCCACACATCCACCCCACCAAGGCTGGGAAATCTGGCTTGGAGGAATGAGGCTGGACGGCCGTGCTCAGCCCTCTCCTGGAAGATTTCAGACACGAGGAGGCAAGCGGCTATGGGGACGGGCAAGGAGCCTGCCAGCACCATGACACCTCGTGCCTACACTGTGCTACCTGGAAAAGCCCCAAACCAACGCCTACAAGGTGTGCAATGAACCTCCCATGGCTCATCTGCAGTACAGCCTCCTCTTTCAAAATGCCTTTCAAGCAGCCCCTAGCCTGGGGCAGCCTTTCAGAAGGACACACAAACTCATGAAAACACCCCCAGGCCAGCAAGAAAAGGGGCGCCTGCATTTTCAAAGCTCAACCGCACCTTGAAGAAGAGCCTCTGTGCAGTTTATGACTGGGGCCAAAGACAGCACTGTCTGACCGGAAAAGCACTGGAGTTTTTGTTTTTTTCCTTTCCCTTTCACCCACATGATGCTCAGCAACAGGGGTGCAGGAAACAACACCCCCCAGCCCCAGCTTCCTCTGCTACAGAAAGGGCCCAGCAAGCAGAGACTCTGTCCAGTATAAATACTGCATCAACTGTCTCCTCCCATGACTCATTTCCTCTCCCCAGCCCAGTTCAACCCGAGTTTACTTCGTTCCCACATTACGGTGAGGTGACGCTCAAATCTGCAGAGAGTGGCTCACTGTGTTGCACAGTCACGGGGCCTCATCTCGTCCGCTGTGGTCTGAGTCTGGCTCCAGCTCAAAGGCTCTGTTTACTCAGCGGCAATGGTCCGATCTCCACCAGCAAAGCCAGGTAGGCAGAACATCTTGTACACACCAGACATTCAGCAGGGTGACACGGTCTTCCTTCGGAGGGACGAGCGCACAAGGCCCGAGAAACTGGCTCCTCTACCCTCACCTGACTGCTCAGGAGATGAGACAGAGACTCTGGGGAGTCCAGCATGGCAGCTGCGAGAAGCAGCTGGCAGGTATTTGGCAAGAGCGGACACCTGTTTACAAGGCTGGACGATGGTAGAACTGTTAACTGGACACAGCTGCAAAACCTGGTCAAGAGCAGGCTAATAACTGACCCACAGCTTCCTCACGGGAGGTAACAGGAGTGTCTGCACACAGCAGGTGTCCCCCATGACTCCCTGGAACAGGGCATCTCAGCCTCAGTGCACGTGATATGCGGGGCAGACCACTGCTGCCACGGAGTTGCCCGAGTGCTACAGGGAGCTGAGTGGCACCCTCGGCCAGAAGCACCTATCCACTGCACACCCTGCCTGGGGCCAGGACAACCGCGAATGTCTCCAGACACCGTCAAACTCCCCCAGGCTGGGACTCGCTTGCCAGGGGAAGGTGCCAAGAGATCCCAGAGTCCAGAACTAACCCCAAAGCCCCAGCACTGACTTCTGGTCACCCAGAATAATAAAGACATAGATAGAGAACTGAGAACACTCAGCAAAACAATAGGTGTTTCATTCAAGACAGCCTAGAGGATGGCTGTTCACAGCAACCTAATTTAGTGGTGAAAATGAGATGCCAGGCAGGTGGCACCTGCCGGCAATTCCAACTACTCAGGAGGTCGAGGCACGAGCCGATGAAGGCCAGTGTGAGCAATTTAGCAAGTCCTTGGGTCAAAAAATAAGGACTGGGGATGTAACAGTGGCAGAGCTCTTGCCTGGCATGGGTGAGGCCTTGGGCTCGCTTCCCCCTGCTGGGAGAGGGGGAGAAGGAGCGGGAGGACCTGGACATCCTTCAAAAGAAGCTGACCGGAACAGTGGTGCACTGTTCTTCAATAAAACACCCTGCACACATTAAATTACACACACACACACACACACACACACACACACACCCATACCTGTCCATGAGGGAAGGAATGCATATATAAAGTTCAACCAATTTTACAAGAATGTGTGTAGATGTAGGTGTTTTTCTAAGCACTGCTATGCCCTTAGTAAAAGACTGAAAGACAAACCTCTGACGAAGTAAAGTAGTTGTCTCCAGGTTGCAAAATGGGGATGAGCAGTCATCATTCCCTTTATGTATTATTCAAAAACCTGTGAGAGGGCTGACTGTTAAAATAACTGGTACTGGGAGCGGTGGCGCACACCTGTCCTCTCAGCACTCAGGAGGCTGAGGCAGGAGGATTGGCACAGGTCAGAGGCCAGTCTGGGCTACACAGTGAGTTCAACGCCAGCTTGAACTGCACAGAGAGACCCTGTCTCAAAAAAAATCAAGTTGCAAGAGGAGGTGGTATCTTTTGAGGAAAAGTGAACTTGTGCATTCGACAGCCAAGGGCCCTGCTGCCGCTGGGGGAGGACACGTAGCCCTTCTCCTAACACACATGGGTACTCTCCAAGCCCATGACAGGCGACGTGGACAGCTCGCTTATCCTGGAGATTGACGAAGACGATGATGATTCAACCCTCCAATGATCTCAGCAGAGCCCACAGCCCTACAACTTGAAAAAACAAAGGCTGGAACAAAGGGTCACTCTGTGGGAGACACTGATGTGCCCTCTCCAGGGAAGCCCCCACCCACAGGATCCATGCTGCTGGATGAGCCTGGCTTCAGATGTGTGCTCAAGATACAGATGAGCAACCCCAAGCCGGGCCAGGGTGGACCCGTGGGAAAAGCCGCAGCTGCGCGGGAAGAAAAGCTCCCTCCCCTTGGGGAAGCTGCCAAGGACACACATCCTACAGCATCCGACAGCGCCTCCTGGCCATCAGGGAGCCACCACTCGGCTCCCTGGGGAGGAAGCCCCAAACGAGGACAGCCCCTGGGTGTTCCTGTGCTTCATCACCTACAATTCTGACTGTCCCTGATAACACATTAAGACTAAAACCCAGGTTACACAATGGCTGCTTCCTGCTCACCCTCTCCCCTGAGGCCAGGGGGCAGGATGCTGACCCAGGAAGGGGCCCCCTGGAGTGACACCCGAGAGCAGCCTCCAGCTAAAGCCAGAGAGGAGTTATGCCCTTGGGCCAATCAAACCCCAGCAACAACAATGCTGCCCAGAAGTAGATCCTGCCCCAAGCCAGCCTCAAGGACATCAGTCCTGGCCAACCTGGTTCCAGTCTGTGATGGACCCTGACCGAAGCCAGAGGACCAGCTGAGCTGCAGCCAGATTCCCAGCACACAGGACCTGGCAGAAAATAAGATACTACTCTTCTAAGCCTCTGCAGGGCAATCTGCTACACAGCAGCACGAATGGCACACTGCCCCAACATGAGCGCGGCTGACCCATGAGCTTTTCCGCTTCCTCTGCTCACAGCCCAACCCAGGTCCTAGCGCCTCCGGGAGAGGCAGAGGCACCAGGAGCCACGCAGCTGGGGCCCAATCCCCAGGCCTCCATTCCAGCGGGTGAACTTGGGCAGCTACATCTCCGTGTCAACAGACACTGCGCCTGCCAGGCTGGGTTAGGGTGAGAAAGAACCAGTCTGTGCCAATCACTCAGCCACCAGCACACCAGGAGCCCCGTGCAGCTGTCACCACCATACTCACAGCTGCTCCCGCTCCTGTATCTCATCCAGTGCAAGTCCCTAGCGGTCCCGGGCAATATGACCACAAAGTAAGAGACTAAGAAGGCGGCTGCTGAACGTCTAGGAGGGCCAGAAAAAGCTGTTTTATTTGAATATCCTTGGCCAGGTCTGTTCTGTCTAGGCAGACACGTGAACTCTAGTGGCTTGGGAGGCTGAGGCAGGAAGATTACAAATGTAAGCCCAACCTGGGGGACTCAGCAACTTAGTACGACCTTGTCTCAAAATTAAAAAATAAAAAGCTCAATGTGGAAGCACTGAGTTAAATTCCCAAGGAGGGAGGGAACCTCAAAATCTCAAATCTAAACCAAACGGTTCGGCATGGGCTGGTTAGCCACCTGGGCCTGGCCAACCTCCTTTCTGCTCTGGCGTTACACTCCCTTGCTGACCTGGGCAGCAGACGCTGCAGCTGGGAGGGCAGGAAGCACGCAGGCTGCGAGCTAGGGGGTTGGGGGGGGACTCACCCGCACAATGATGCCCATGCGCTTGCTCTCGTAAGTGAAGGGGAAGATCTGCAGGATGGTGAAGTTCAGGATCTGGTCGCCAGGGGTCCTCAGCTGCACAGAAGACTGGTCTCGGCCCACCAGGGTCAGGCCCACGCTCTCCGTCCACTGGACCAGGGCCACCTACAAGGAACACAGGGCTTCTGGTCAATCAGGCGGGGGTGGGTGGGGCAGAGGCAGGACAGCAGGCGTCACTGTCCAGGACAGTGAGGATGTGGGCCAAGAGGCTGCAGAGCCACTGTCACAGCACCCGTGCCTGAGGCCCTGTCGGGTGCTGCTGCCCATGGCACAGCCCCTCCCGGTGCTCCTTCAGGCTTACACGCACCCGGATGGGTTCTTGACTGAGTGGTTCTGTCCCCAAGCAATGTGACTGATGGGGGTCACAACTGGGGGACGAGCTGCCCCTGGGATCCTGTGGCCACGGCCACAGAGGTTTCAAGCAACATCAGCAGTGCACGGGTCACCCGCACCAGTATCCAGCAGCAGCCAGCGGTGCCCAGGTGGGGAAGTGCGGTCTACGCTGGCGAGGGAACCAAGACTCAGAAAGTGAACAAAGAGGGGGAGGGGGTGGCACTGGGCAGGGACAGAGACCAGGCGAGGGCTCCGTCCCACACGACACTCGCCTCCTCTGGGGCTCAGTGGGATCTGGCCCCAGCCTCAGCCAGGCCCACCACGGTGCGGGTCAGAGGCAGGGTGTCCCAAACACCACAAGATGGCCCAGCCTGATCAGGTGATGGGAGAGGGCCAGGTGGGGACTGTGGTGGGGGCTGCCATGCAAGAGGGGAGGAGGGTGCCCTGCAGGAACGCAGCTAGCCCAGGGTGGCCAGAGCACCCAGTTTCTCAATAAAAGCTGGACATCTGGAACAGTCCCTGAGATCTCCCAGCTTTTCAGCTACGCAATCCATTGGCCCAATCTCCAAAGTCCACGGAGAAATAAAAGATGTCTGCAGAGGACAGGCCTAGGTCTCCAGAAACAGAAGGAAATGGCACAGCAAAGTGGGGAGTGGGGCGGGGAGGTGCAGAAGGGCACAGGCGCACATCCCCACGTCCCCTTCACCCCACTGCACAGGAAGGAGGCACTGGCAGACGGGTACAGAGCGTCCGGGTCCTGAGGGCTGCACTGTGGCAGGGTCGCCCTCCCAACTCCTCAGAGACAGGAAAGAGGAGCTCTCTGTGGCAGATGGAGAATCTGAGATTCTAGTGGCACTCTGTGGTGCACACCTGTAATCCCAGCACTCTGGGATGCTGAGGCAGGAGAATCTAAAGTTCCAGCCCAGTCTGGACAATTTAATGACTCAGCAAAATCCTGATTCAAAATTCTAAAAAAATGTTTAAAGGCTGCAGATAGAGCTCCTTGTGAAGGCCTTGGGCTCAGTCCCCAGCGGGTGGGGATGGGGAGGAAATGAAGAGAAACAGTCCACGACGTGGCAGGGACATGGCTCTCGGCTGGCAGCTGTGATGAGCTGAGACAGGACCAACCTCTGAACCTGCAGGGCAGTGTCAGATGCCCCCCATGCCATGGCCTGCTCCAGGTGTGCGTGTGGTCAGCATGCCCCTAGCAGGGGCCACCTCGACCCACTATCACCATTAACACTGATGGGAAGTGGAGCAGGCCAAAGAGTGGTCCCCAAAGGCACCCACATCCTGATCCCGGGTCAGGCTCCCTGCCGTGACAAAACAGACTTGCAGAAGGGACTAAGCACACAGATCTTTAAGGGGAGACTGTCCTGGACATTCCAGGCATCTCAATGGGACCACACAAGTCCTCAGAATGCAGTGGCCAGAGAGAGAACCAAGATAGAACAAGGAAGGGCCCGTGGAATGCGGCAGCCTGCAGGAGCTGGAGAGGGAGGGACGCAGATGTCCCCAGGGAGTGCAGCCCTGCCTAGAGTCTGATGCTATCTCAACCTGTGACCTGCACAACTGGGAGATGATCATTTCACCTCATTTTTGAACATCAGATACCTGGTAATTTGCTACTGCAGCAACAGGAAACCAACACGGGCAGTTTCCCACTTTTAATGGAATAAGCTGGCTCTTTACCCCTGATCGAAATCCACGCATGCTGTATCTAAAACAGATGCAGGAAAGCAGAAGGGTGACCTGCCGTTTACTCATTATGAAGCTTAACCTCAGCGGGTGTGGGCTGGGGGCTCGGGCAATGCTGCGCGGGGCTCCACTGGAAATGCAACACCCTGGGCCGAGTGGGAAGCGCATTCACTGCCCCAACCTACTGACCGCTCCAGCTCAGCCTGCAGTGCACTGCGGAGTGCGGTCACCTCCTCTCTCGCCACGCCCAGAGCTGACTGGGAGACTCGGCCCTGGCACTGCCCTGCAATGCCGAGGACTGGATGCGTATCACTGGCCCCAGGAAAGACCAAAGCTCCAAATTCAAATCACAAGCTCTACTCAACACATGCTGTCTTACAGCACTGTAAACCTGAAATATCCTAAGTGGAATCATCGTAAGGCAGGGGCCTTCCCTTTTTGCAAGCCTGACCTATTTCTAACAGTAGCTTTTGGATGGAAGGCGGTGCATGACTTAGCCAGGGATCCTACAGTGGTGTGTGCACCTCCGGCACCGCAAGCATCAGGGTTCGTCCTGAATTCCCACCAGGACTGCTCCGCAGAAGCCATGAAACGGCCCGCAGCCAGCTGCTCCCCAGCTCTTGGAACCCCTGAGTGTCACACTGGCTGTCCTGATGCTCCCCCAAGGAGGCATCAAGCTGGGGTTCATAATCAGGGTTCATCCAGCCAGCTCCTCTTCTGCTGGACTCCTCAAAACAAGTGGCTCCCAGTAGGTACTTCTCATCTCTTCCTGCTCGGCACATGTTAGCTTTGTCACCCTCAGCTGGCTCTGCTCAGATCCCTACTCACAGCACGTGTGGCTGAGAGCAGCTGAGTTCGCATTAGCAAGAAGCTCCTTTCAACACTGTCCCCTGCTTTCACGCATGCTCATGCGATGAGTCGGCCAGGAGCAGGTAGCCAGCAGGCACTGTCATACTGACCCCTGCCTTTCAAACAAGAAGGACGTGATGCTCCCTACAGGTCTTCCCAAGTCTTTGAAAACTCATTCTTTACGAATTTGTTCAACGAAATGCTTCTGTGCTATGGAATGAAACGTTTGTGGACCCCCCTCATGTGTTGAAAGGTAACCGCCAATGTGACGGCACCAGGGAAGTGATTACAACGGGAGGGAGCCTGTAAAGGAGACAGCAGGCAGCTTCTGTGCCCTCTGCCCCGCGAGGCACAGGAAAGACAGTCTGCTGCAGGCCACAGAGCAGGGCCTCGAACTGGCATTTCCGGCCTCCAGAACCGTGAGAATTAGGGTTCCACTGTTTCTCAGCCACACAATCTGTGGCCTGCTGTTACAGCAGCCCTGAATGGTTGAAGACACTGATGTGCACTCTGGCCTGTTGTCAGATGCTTTCTTTTTAAGTTTAAAATTAAAAGCAATAAAGAGCTATAAAAAAGCTTGGGTATGGGGCTGGGGATTTAGCTCAGCGGCATAAGCGCCTGCCTTGCAAGCAGGCAGTCGTGAGTTCGATCCCCGGTACCGATAAAAAAGGGAAAAGACCACAAAAAAAAAAAAAAAAAAAAAAGCTTGGGTATCTACAAAAAGTGCTTATGGAGTAATACCTCTGACAAGAAATACTTCTGGCTTTCCATATCAGATTTTAAAAATTTACTTAGTGACACTGGGGGTTGAACCCAGCACCTTTGCACTGAGCTACATTCTCAGCCTACCCCATTTTAATTTTGAGATACATTCCCAGCCCCACCACCACCACTTTTTTGTTTTAATTTTTGAGACAAAGGTCTTGCTAAGTCCCCGAGTTCCTCAGGCTGGGTTGGAACTTTGAATCTTCCTGCCTCAGTCTCCCAGAGTGCTGCGATTATTATAGGCATGAGCCCCAATGCCCAACACCACTGGAATATTTTAACATGTCCATGCATTTCCTTTGCCTTTTAAGCAAATTAAGCATCCTGACACCAGCTGAAGATATTGTAGCTAGTGATACACAAGCTAAAAAGTCTAAGTTTACATCATTGTCCACACACCTATTTAGCAATGAAGAAAAGAATTATTCTTTGGATGCTTTCAAATATCACTGAAAGTCTCTTTCTTTCAGTGGCTGCCACATCACTTTTTAAAGTCCTGTTTAATTAGCCTGAAAAGATCTGAAAATCCTGTGACTCGGGGCTTCTGAAAGCTGTGCTGAGCGCCAGCGACTGCTCTGAACTTTAATGGAGAAAGAACCTGGAACCGGGAGCCAAACAGGCTTTGCAGAGCTGGAGGCCACATCGGCCTTGGGCCTGCAGATCTGCAACACTCAGAACTGACATCCCCGAGGAAGAGTGGCCCATGCCTGTTCTGACTTCACACTCATAATCAGCTTCTTCCCACAGCAAAGCTCCGGGCAGTGGAGTTAGGAACCCGGAAGCCTCCCTCCGGCTCTCGCACCCTGTAATACCTACAGCAGCCTCATGGGTCTCCACGGGGCAGACTCCACGGAGATGAGCACTCCGGGCCTTCTGCTCCCCCACACATTCCTGGGCTTCAATATAGCTGGGACAAACAGAACACATAAAGTCCCGGGGCCCACCAAGGGTCAGTGTGGGTGCTCAGCAGAATGGGGTGCTCAAACACTTGAGAGCAAAGGGATAATTGCATCTTTCCCAAACAAGATACTATGAATCAGGCTCGCTCTTGCAGGCGTCCTGAGCTTTGGGTAAGGCATCGCTCCGTGGTGAAGGACTTCGGGGTCTCAAACCCCACTGTCTTAGCCTGAGTCAGGGTTTTGCGGGCTGCAGAACAGAAGAACCCAGGGTCCCAGCAGCAGTGGAAACAGAAGCCTTGTTAAGCTGAACAAATGCAGGAGACATGAGTGGGACTGAATGGGAACAAAGCCAGGCAAGAGGCGCGGTGGTCAGGGGTCCCCGAGAGCTCCCTCCCAAGGCCAAGCTGAAGCACGCGGGCCAGAAGCCCCCATGAAAGAGCTTTTTCATCTGGGGAGCGTAGTAATAAACCATCCTTGCCAAGCTTTAATAACTTCCCTTTGTACCTGGGATGGTGGGTTTGGGAAACCGACCAGAGCACAAACAGTAGTGTGCGTCCTTGG